TGGAACACTTTCCCTATGAGGAAAGGTTAAAGCGCTTAGGGCTCTTTAGCTTGGAGAAAAGACGACTGAGGGGTGACATGATCGAGGTTTATAAGATTATGCATGGGAAAGAGCAGGTAAAGAAAGAGGTACTTTTCTCCCTTTCTCACAATACAAGAACTCGTGGGCACTCCATGAAACTGCAGAGCGGTCGGGTTAGAACGGATAAAAGGACGTCCTTCTTCACCCAAAGAGTGATTAACACTTGGAATTCACTGCCACAGGAAGTGGTGGGTGCTACAAGCATGGATGGCTTCAAAAGGGAATTAGATAAGCATATGGAGCAGAGGTCCATCAGTGGCTATTAGCCACAAGGTATAGCTAGGGGCTCTGGGGCAAGTGATGCTCTGTCTTCTTGGTGCTTGGGGGGGTCAACAGTGGGAGGGCTTCTAATGTCCTGGCCCCACTGGTGGACCTCCTGATGGTACTGGTATTTCTGGCCACTGTGTGACACAGAGTGTTGGACTGGATGGGCCTTTGGCCTGATCCAACATTGGCGTCTCTTATGTTCTTATGTTCTTATGTTCTTACGTATATACCTATCTGCCAAATGACTGTGAATCTCCATGCATCTGATAAATTGAGCTGTGCTTATGAAAGTGTATGGCATACATGTGTTGGTCTTTTAAGGTGTCACAAGACTCTATATTATCCCAACTTGCTATAAGCCACTTTTGAATTATTCAGAAGAAAGCAGGATGAAAGTTGCTATATAATAAGGTTGGTAGTGATTATGATGCTTTTAAGTGCCATTTTGGTTTCTAAGAAATGTTCCTTTTTAAAAATGTCTTTTTAGGAGGGTCAACCTATCTACATAGCTGTTAAAGGTGTGGTGTTTGATGTTACTTCTGGAAAAGGTGAGTTAAGTTTGAAAAAAGAGAAGCAAGGGCTCCCGGATGAATCAGAATTAAGACAGAAACATTAGCATTGCAGCCTCAGCCATATGATCTTCTTAAGGAGTTGGAGCAGTTGCTCAAAAGACCTGGTGCAAAGCAAATCCCTCACTTGCTTCTCCACCAAAAAATGCTGTCAGAGGATTTCTCTTTATTTCTCAGGGCAGGGCATATGGGGATTTTGTTCTCCCATTTTTAATTTATAACATCTGTGTGGGGTGAGTTAGAGCTTGAGTGATAAGGACATATCTAGCACCATTCAGTGAGATTTATTGACTGAGCAAGGTTTTTAATCCAGGTACCTACAGTTCCACACGAGTCCCACTGCATCATGATGGCAAGCTTGAATATAGCTAAGGAGGGCTTTGCATGCTACTGTTAGCAGTGCTCTTTTATCCAGGTCATAATCCTGGTGGTTACCAAAATACCTGTGTGAGCCAGCTCTTGCTTATTTTCACTTTTGGTGTAGTGGTAAAGAGTGTGGACTCTAATCTGGGAGAACCAGGTTTGATTCCCCACTCTTCTACATGCAGCTGCTGGTGTGACCTTGGGTCAGTCATAAGTTCTCGAGAGAGCTCTCTTAGCCCCACCTACCTCACAGGGTGTCTGTTGTGGGGAGAGGAAGGGAAAGGAGATTGTAAGCAGCTCTGAGATTCCTTTGGATACTAAATCCAATATCTTCTTCTTCTTTGGCATCAGGGCCACCTGGTCAAAGTCACTCCAAGTTGCAAGTGGTTCTCAGTGCTTTTGTAGCCTGGTCTTTGTTCCTGAGTGTGTGGTAGCACCGTATGTAAGAAATTTTTTAAAAGTTTGCTGCCTCTGAAGAATTAATTTATCTCAGTATCCCCCCCCCCCTCCGAAGCATCCAACACTTAGGACCCAGGTACAGCTGCGGTGGCTCAAGTGCTTAAGACGCTGAACTGCAGGCTGTGGAAGGTCAGTAGTTCAGCAGTTCAAGACCCGAGTTGCCGCATGACGGAGTGAGCTCCCGTCTCTAGTTCCAGCTCCTGCCAACCTAGCAGGTCGAAAGCAAGAAATTGCAAGTAGATAAATAGGTACCACTTCGGTGGGAAAGTAACAGCGTTCCGTGCGCCTTGGTGTTTAGTCATGCCGGCCACATGACCACGGAAATGTCTTCGGACAGCGCTGGCTCTTCGGCTTTGAAACGGAGATGAGCACTGCAACCCTAGAGTCGGACTCGACTGGCTTTCGAGCAAGGGAACCTTTACCTTTACAGTATTCTAGCTTCTGGTGATCTAGAGTTGATGCCTGGCCAATAATAGTTTTTAATGGAGACAAGGAAGGAGAGTATCTTGGAATGTACTAAGGGAAACAGATTTCTTGCAAGGGAATAGTGAAGTTCTGTGTTTAACAGAAGTTACGTACAGGGTCTTCCTCCCCAGGTCAGTAGGGGAAAGCCCTTTCTGTGTTTTTGGTAGGGTGTTTTTTCTTCTCATGTACACACATGCACAAACATATATCTTGCTTTTACCCAGATGTAGAATGACATAACCATCTGGCACTGGGAAATAAAGCCTTAACATCAGCAGGTATTTGTAGGAAAAATGAATTTTTCATCAGTATATATAATTCTAAACATGGTCCCAGGGGACAGGTAAAAATACACATAAGAGGTCCTTGTATATATTGTGTGCATGGTTGGAAACCTGAGGTTAAATCCATAAAAGAAAAGAAACGTTAAAAAAATAAATCAAGCACAGACATGATAACTAGAACAAACAAAACTAAAAATGCTGGATGAAGTATCATGAATGTCAAAAGACCTCAGTGGCAACCTGCCTGGGGGCTTGGAGAAGAAAGTATGCTTTCTGGGATGCTTTCTACTCAAGGCCTCCTCCCCACTGGCTGATTGACAGAATGGATTGCAGCCATGATTTCTGCCCCAAGCCCAGCACCTTATCACCTGGCCAGTAGGTAGGGGTGAGGAGGTTTATCACAGCAGGGACCACCAGGAGAAGGAAGAATGAGATGTCCCCTCCTTAGAGATTTCTCACAGGTTCCTTGTTTGTATTGTGCTTAACCCTCCCAAGGGCGTAGACTTTCCAATTTCCCGGGGGGGCTGGGGCAGAGGCATTGCTACGGCATTAAAAGAACTGGGACCCAATGACATCATAGGGAGAAGCTAGTGACATCACAGGCCATCGTCACTATCTATGGAGGTGGACCCATGTGGGATTTAGGGATGGGCTCCCCAGAAATTTAGGGAGGCCTAGGAACTGCCCTAGCAATGTCCCTGGGCTGGGCTAACCCCAGGAACAGTTGCCTTCTTAGCACACTGCTTAGAAACTTAGAAAGCCCCCCCACACCCCACACTGAAATAAGAACATAATATCAGCCCATACCACATTGCAATAAAGTCCCTACAACTGTATACAGAAATAATGAGCTTCCCTCCCATTTGCCACAACTAGCCCCACCACACAACCAGGATTAAGACTCCTAAGTGGACCAACAGACAGGCATACACTCATTTGAGAAACTGAGTATTACATTACAACACCTCTGGAACGTTACAGATCAGTAGAGGCAGCACTGCACAGTGGTCAGAGTTGCAGATTGATGTGGGGAGACCCAGGTTTGTATTCTCACTCTGCTGGCTGAGTGACCCCGGGCC